TGAAGGAAGTCTGTTCCTGCTGTCCTAAATCAGAACTTGTGATTTCCCATAGGAACTAGATAGAGCTACACCTGTTACGGTTTTGAGAAACTTCACCATACTTTCTTGTATCCAATAAATCCTATTCGAATACAATTGAATGAGAATACATTAAAGCGTTGCTGGGTTTATTCTTGTTTATAAACTGCTCATCTAACCACAGTTAAGGAATAAATTACTTGGGATGAAGTACTGATCATAACATACCAGTATATTATAATATGAGTAGGAACCACTGTTCCAAAAGGCTAGGTCCTATAATACTGTGGTAGTTAATTTTAAAAGTTAATAAAAAGAAATTCAATAGAGAAAAAATATGTCCTATGATAAAAAACATCTTTCCCATCTCCTGATCCCCTTCCTTATTCTCCACTTCTAAAAGTAAGCACTAATTAATTTGTAACAAATTATAACCATTAAAATTTTAGTTATATATCTATATCCCTCTTTTTTTTCTCTTACAGGTGATATCCTAATACACATGCCAGCCTGCAACTTGGTTCCATGTCCCCAAGGATATGAAACTACCTCACTATTTTAAAAGGCTATGTACATGGCATTCCCATAAGTGTCTTATCTGCCACTTTAGACACTTATTAGCTATCATAGACAATGCTGCAGTGAAAATCCATATACATATATACTTAGACTCTGTGTGAGTCGCTCTATGATATAAACAACACCATAGAATTCTGCAGATTATACTTAACTGGCAGGGGAGATACCATGATCACGAAGGTGGTTTTCCCAGGGCGAGGCTTATCCATTGCACACCGTTTGTACTGACCCCGGCAATTTCCCCAAATTTGGGAAACTCAACTGCATAATTTGTAGTAGGGGACTGCATTCACTCTCTCCCCTGGAAAACTTGAGATACTATACTGAATCATTTTGTTACTGTATCAACTGCTAAACAGTATCTCTAGAACTTCCTCCCTCCCTCAATTCAGACTTTGCGGAGAATAGAACATTGGGAGATACAGTTACTTAGAAAATAAGGCTATAGCTGGTGTGTCTTTATCACCCAAGAAGCTTTGTCCAGTTCTATAACGACAAATTAGTCCTGTGCTCTCTTCACAATTACTCGTATATTTGAGCCTGTTGTAGCGCTTGTGTCAATTCACATTGTCGAGGCCCTTTGTCGCAGATCAATGTCCTTCTTCAGGCACTGGTCCTTTCTATTAATATGTCCACCGTACATGAGATTTCGAAGTCTCACCACCCTTGCTTCTAAGGAGCGTCTGGCAGAACTTAACAAGACAGATTTGTTTATTCTTCTGGCAGCCCGTGGCATATGCAACAATAATTGCCAAAAGCATAATGGAAATACTTGCCTTATTCAGCGTTCCTCTCTTGCATGCATCTGAGGATGAAAACACCATGCCTTGGGTCGGGCTCCCCTTAAGCCTTCACAGTGCTACCTTTGTTTGTTAGGATTTACAGAGGTCTTTTGCAGCAGATCTGTCCAAGCTTTTCCTTGTGCATTGTTTTATTCCGAATGCTGCTTTCGTGGATGTCAATTGTAGATCCAAGGGGACTGAATTTCTTGACAGCTCCAGGGTTTGGTTTTGTTTTCCTCCCCCATTTATCATGGTGCTGGTTATTGGTACAGTTGTGAGGAATTAAAGAAAATTTTATAGTAATCCACACTGAAGGCTGTAATCTCTGATCTTATCAGCACGTGCTTCAAGTCCTCTTTACTGTCAGCAAGCAAAGTGTGTCAGTCATCCACATATGGAAAGTTGTTAATGAGCCTTCACCCAGTCTTGATGCTGTGTTCTTCATATGGTCCCGTTTCTCAGCATCGAAAGACTGAATAAGTCTGGTAAAAGAATGCAACCGTGAGGCATGCCTTTTCTGATTTAAACCATTCCCTGAACATCCCCTTGTTCTGTTCACATGACAGCCTCTTGTCCAGAGCATAATGAAGTGTTCTGGAGTTCCCTTTCTTTGCCACTGCATTGTTATGCATAGTTTGTTATGATCCACACAGTTGACTTTTAAAATGCAAGTCAACATCTTTGTGGTATTTTCCTCATGAGTTTTCGTAATTGTTCATAATATGTCGTCTATGCTTTATCTGAAGGTGACTTGCTGGAAATAAAATTCTTTGACCCATATATTTTTTCTCTTTTAACTATCTTGAATCTGTAACTCAGATTTAAGGCTGACAAAGACTTATCAAAAAGACCAAATATAGTAAAAAACAAAACAAAAACCAGACCAAGGATAGTCTAATTTTCTTTATAAGCCACAAGATCTTTTGGCCTAACTCCCAAGTGATTTTTTTTAAGTACAATAATTTATTAGGCTGCCTTGATGGTCTCAGGCACATGGTAGAATTTTTCAATATATAATTTCAAACCTTTTATTTTAGGTAAGTCTCTTTGTATTTTTTTTTGTATTATTTCTTGGCATTGGACTTCCTCAGGGATTACTGTTGTCCACATTGCTCATCTTCAATATTTATCACACTATCTTGAATCTTTTAAAAAATATTGTCAATGAAAGTTTACAGTTTCAGTAACTTCTCATTCAACAATTTCTATACAAATTTTCCAGTGACATTAATTGTATTTTTTACAACCTGTCATTATTACCTTCAATTGTATTCTAATTGTCCTATTTCCTGTAATCTCAGTTCCTTTCCATCTTCTCATCTAGGCTTTAGAAGTAATTGTTGACCTTTGGGTTTCATATAGATGCTATTTTAATGGAGCACTATACTAAAGATATAGGTAATATCTTTTATATTATGTGCTAATCTGTTATTTTGCTAAAAAGTTACCTCAAGTTAGTTCCAGTTCAAGAGTATTTCCAGAAATCCTCTGTCCTCAAATAGTCTAGTAAGAATGGACTTTAAGAATCTGTTCTGCTTCTATTGTCCCATTCTTTCAGTTTCTACCTCTTGTAGTCCTGGGCAGAACAGTAATGGTAGCTGGGCACCACTTAGTTCCTATGGTCTCAGGGCAGATGAAGCTGAGCCTGGGGTAGGCTACTTACCATACAGACTGATTTCTTCTCTAGGTGATTTTCTTCTTTCTCTTTTGTTCCCAATGAGTAGAGACCAACAGATGTATCATAGATGGTTCTTTGCAAGCGTATTAAGACCCCAGGTGCTAATTACAGTTACAGTACACAAAACACAAACTTTGTGAATCATATCATACCAATGGACTGAGTTGTCCCATGAGACTAGGTCTTAAGCCTTCAAACCCTGAAAGCTATTCTTGCAAGGTGTTTAGTTAAAGCCTTTTATGCTTTATTTCTTTAAACACAATTTTAAATCAATAGATAATTACTTAGGAATAGCTTTAGATTTAGTACAGAAAATTTTCAAGGATAGTAGAGTTTCGATATACTTCATTTTCTTTCATTAAGATATCAGCATTGGTACATTAATAAGAACTGAAGTCCAGATTTTGTTTATCCACTAATGACCGTTTCTTGTTCCAGGGACTAACCCAGGGTATTGCATTGCATTTAATTGATTTTGGTGGTACAAGCAATTAACACGCTTGACTGTTAACCAAAAGGTTATAGATTTGGGTGCACTCACAGGTGCCTTGGAAGAAAGGTCTAGTGATCTACTTCTGAAAAATCAACCATTGAAAATCCTGTGGATCACAGGAATAGAAGTTTTTGTTTTGAGCTAAAGTTGATTGTAATGACTCCTAGTGACCCAATAGGAGAGGGGAGAACAGCCCTACAGGATTTTTAAGGCTGTACTCTCTACAGAGGCACACTGCCACATCTTTCTTCTGCTGAATGGCTGGTGGACTTGAACTGCAAGCCATTTGTGTAGCTGCTGTACAGCTAAATAGTCTGCTACCCAGGTTCTTCCTTTTCTAAAAACTTGAGATAAATTTAGTGTTTCCCTTAATGATAACACTTTGCAGATCTTAGTATCATATCACAACACTTTATTCAAATTTCTCTAGTTCTACTTTTATATTCATTTGTGTGTGTATGTTAAGTTCAATTCCATCTTATCACTTTCATATGTTTGTGTATTCATCATCACCACAGTCAAAATATCGAACAGTTCCCATACAAGGGTGCCGTGTATTGCCTTTTTATAACTACAGCCCTCTAAAGCCCTACCCTATCCACTTCAACTTCTTAACACTTAACAAATATTCATCAATCCTTTATTTCTTAACTTTGTCATTTTACAGTATTATATAAATATGAAGTCATATACTATCTATGCTTTCAGTTTCACTTGTTTTTTTGCATAATTTCCTGGAGATTAATTTAAATAATATGTATCAGTAGTTATTTTTATTGCTAAGTAGTAGTATTTCTTCTTTATGTATTTGGTGGTAGTTATCAATGAAATGCCCTTAGCTTTGGTTTTTCTCTCCTAGAAGTTTTAAAATAATGTGTGTAAGTTTACTTATATATGCATACAAAGAGGAGACCCTAAAAATAACGGGAGAAAAGCTCTGCTGGCTGGCTGGAGCTTTCTTAATAAAGCATATTTCCCGCTAGGCAAGAAGCCAGCTGCTCTCTCTGAGTCAGTGCACCCAGTGGTATCACCTGGAAAGGTTCTCTGTGGTCACTGAATTTTTTCATAAAAGCAGTTTAACTGGAACCTCATTTTTTTGTGATGGCTGACTTAAGAGAACAGCACGCGGCTGTGAAATTTTGTTTCCTGCTCAGGAAAAATGCCGTCAAAACTGTTGTGATGTTGAACATAGCTTACAACGACAGCGCTATGGGAAAAAACTCAGTGTATGAGTGGTTTTCTCATTTCAAAAAAGGTGAAATTTCAATTGATGACAAACCTTGTTCTGGACGTCTGCCAACTTCCCAAACATGAAAATGTTGACAAAATTCATGGGTGCACTTGTGCTTAAAGATAGATGACTAACCATTGAAGAGATGAGGAAGTTATCTGGACTATCTTGGAGCTCGGTTCAGTAAATTTTAATGGAAGTTTTGGGACTGGTTCTAACTGACCAGGAAAAAGAACGGCAGCTCCAAATGTATAGACTTTTCCCCCAAGGTCATTACTAGTTATGCGACATGGTGCTATTCTTACGACCTTGAAAGCAAACATTAGTCAAGCCAGTGGAAGTCACCGTGGTCACCTCACCCCAAAATAGCTCATCAAGTGAAATCAAAGATCAAGATGATGCACATTTGTTTTTTTGATGTCGGGGATAGTACATTTGGAGTTCATACCACCAGGTCAGACTTTCTATTCAGAGGTTCTGAAAAGATTGTGTAACAGTGGGAACTGGTTTTGCCACCACAACAAGGCACCTACTCACACAATCATCTCTGCGCCAGTTTATGGCAAGAAACAGCATGCACCTCTTTCCCCACACACCTTACTCACCTGACCCTGCTCCATGCAACTTAAACAGTATTTTTGTTTTAGCGATTTGATGATGTAGAAGAGGTAAAGAAAAAAGTGAGGGAGGTGCTGTCAGCCATCCAAATAGAAGAGTTTGAAAAATGTTTCCAAGAATGGGATCATAGATTTGACTAATGTATTATTAAGTATACTGAGAGTACTTTCAATGTGATAAGGTTGTTTTGTAAAAAAAGTTTAAATACACTGAAAAAAATTCCGCTCTGGGGGTGGGGGCGTGGTAGTCCCCCTCGTATGCATATGTATTTGTTCATCTGGGGTAACTCGGCTTCGAGTGTAGAATTCCCAGTGTTTCATGCAGAAGATCCAGTTAGATTCCTGGCCCACATACCAAATGCACAGCCACCACCTGTCTGTCGGTGAAGTTAGCATGTTGTAATGCTAAACAAGGTTCTGTAAAATGTCCAATCTAAAAAAAAATGTCCAGACTAAGATGGACTAGGATGAAAAGCATGGCTGCCCCCAAAGCAGTTAATGAAAGCCCCGTGGGTCACAAGAGTCAGAAGACCCCGCCGAGCAGCATTTTCTTCCGTTCTTCATAGGGTCACCCTGAGTCAGGGCAGACTGGAGGGCAGCTAAGAGCAGTAATGATGAGTTTATTCAGAATTTCTCTTTCCTGAATGAGGCGGATACCTCGTGTCTTTCAAGGAATCGGCCCATCTACTTCAACACATGTATGGGCATAAGGTGGTTTGACAACCAGAGACTCAGATATACCAATGATCTTGAAGGTGGCACAGATCTGAGCACTGTTTCGTTTTCTTTTTTTTTTTTCATAAGATCACCATGAGTCAAGCCAACTTGAGAGCAATGAACAACTTTATTATTATCTTCTGATAGCTATTAACTCAGTAATGATGTCTCTTATTTTCTTTATTGACAATTTGTGTCTTTTCTCGTTATCTTAATCAGTCTGATGAGAACTTTGTTTTATTGATCTCCAAGGACTAGCTTTTGGTTCTGTTGCTTTTCTGTTTTCAACCTCCTTCATTTCTGCTTTGTTCTCTGTCATGCTTTCTGCTTACCATTCTAACTTCTCCTCTTTAATTTCGTACTGAAGAACATATGTTACTGGTTTAAGTACTTTTCCCACCCTAATCTATGTTTTTAATCATATATATTTTAATTGTTTAAATTTTGTTTACATTTTTAGTAAGGGTTATATTTAAAATTTGTAGACTCCACATGGTTTGTCAGTAAAACTTTTTGAAAGAATGAGATTCATGAAGCACAGAAAACTTTTACTAGATCATTGGGTATGTAAAGAACTGGGAGAGAAAGACTATCTGGCAGGGAAAGGAATAGTCCTAAACTCTTTTTTTTTCCTAAACTCTTACTTGTAAAGGAAATTGTGACAAAAGGAAGGCTATTAAAGATAACCTCTACACTTTTCCACTTAATGATGCACTTGTATTTAAACAATGATATTAGTTATCACAGATTATAGATGAATAAATTGTAGGTTAAAACCTCTGGGTATCGCCGCTGAAAAGAACAGTATGTAACTAACTGTGCGCTCTTAGAGACCCTTCTGAAGCTATCATGCTGCTTCAGACGGTGTCCCCACTCTCTGACTTTACTTGTAGTTGCCTCTGTTTGCTACTAACTGATGCTTACGCTTTCTTTTCTTCTTTTCCTGCAGAAATGTTTAGTTCATTGTCAGGATTCGCTAATGCTTTGCATGAATTATTAGGCAGTCATGACACTGATCAGGATTTGGGTGGTCACTTAGACCCTGTGAGTAACTCTTTCTTATTTAAAGCAATAAGACAGAGGTTCTGCATACTTCCATGGAAAAGAACGTCAGAAGGGTGTCCGCAGTCTTTTTATGCTGCGCGGAAGAAAATGTTAAGAAGAATATTGAGACTTAGAAATGATCCTTCTGTAGGTTTGTAGTTTAAGTTAGAACCAGAATGATGAGAAATCTTGGATGAGATTTGAAAGAGCTTCCTGGTTTGTCCCTCTGGGGCTTGTTGAGTGCTACGTTTGTTTTCATCCCTTCTCGGGCATATAGTCCTGGTCCATAGGAATACATGAATGTGAAATCGGTAAAGAGCTGTTTGGGGGTTTGAGAATATCTGTTTGCTTTTATTTTTATTTATCACTTTAATAATTGAAGGTTTATATTTTTGGAGAGCCATATAATGAATCAAAGTAAATTCTTTAGTTTTCTGAAAAGACAAGCCTTATTACTTAGTGGTAAGAACATTTTATTCAACTGCTGTCTTGATTTTAAATTTTGGGATCATCTGTTTAGTGATAACATGAGCTTTGTCTTTGGCAAAATTACCATAATCATACAGCATACAGTAAATGAAACAGATTTTGAAATGAATAAAAGTTTTGTTTGTAAAAAGCTTCATTTACATTTACTAAATACCCAATATATGGCGATGGCCTCAATGATAGTAAATTATTGAATCAGATTTGGAAAACTGTCTTACATTTAAAAGGGTGTAAGCTGGGCAATGGTAAGATGAATTCCGAATGAAGAAATTTCTCTTTGCAAGTGAATACCTCTTCTCTGATGCGTTGAAATGTTTTTGTTGAAATACTAGGAAATACCCCAGATATTGGACATGGAAGTTAACCATCATATACAAGAGGATGTCCTGGTACGTCTGTCTTATTCAGAACAATTGGTGGCAGAGCTGAAGGACATTATTAGACAAAAAGATACCGAGCTACAACAGAAGGATGAGACTTTACAGGTAGTTGCTGTTGTATTTTCTTGATAAAAGACGGAAGATTCGCTATTCACTCAGGTTGACAAAGAATCTGATTTTTCTTTAATAGTATAAAATGGTGTCCACTGCAAATAACTTTTGGTGTGTGTTGGATGAATCGTGAACAAACATCTGTGCATTGACCATTCTTGTTCCCTCAGGAAGAAAGAAAGGCAGCTGATAACAAAATTAAGAGAATGAAGCTTCATTCAAAGGCCAAATTAATTTCTTTGAATAAACAACTAGAAGAAATGAAGGCACAGGGACCTGGGGTGGTCATGCCTACAGGCCATGAGTCAGAAGAACAATTCTCTAAGGTATGGCGACTCGGTAGAATACATATTTTTTAAGTCAACAAAGCCTCCCTACATATCACATTATCATGAATCACAGACGTATTTTCATTGCCTTTCCCCTGTGGCTAGACCCCAAATATTCACAGCCTTTCCTTTAGAGAATAAGAAACTTTTTTTGTATGTAGACTTAGATATATTCAAGGGGGTTCCAAAGTTAGTGGCATTGAGAAGGAGAGGGGTCAGAGCAGAGACCCAAAGACCATCAGTACATAATGGCACATGCCCTCACAGAAGGGTCACAAGGGAGAGATGAGGAGTGCGATATAGCACCGATGAAACACAATATTCCTTTAGTACTTTGAGGCTTCCTCACCCCCCACTATCATGACTCCAGTCCTGACTTTCACTGTGAGCTAGACCGGAGCATGTATACAGGTACAGATAAGGAATAAGATCTCATGACACATGAAATCCAGGGACAGGAACAGGAATGGGACCAAGTACCAGGAGAGTAGGGGGAAGGGGGCAGGAACTGGGGGGAAAGGGGAACCAATTGCCATATAACACCCTCTCCCCACCCTCGGGGACAAACAACAGAAACCATGGGGGAAGGGAAACAGCGGTCGGTATAAGATCTGAAAATAATAATTTAATAATTAAGGGGTTACGAGGGTGCGAGGAGGAGGGAGGGAAAAAGAGGAGCTAATACAAAGGGTTCAAATAGAAAGTAAATATTTAGAAAATGATGGCAACATATGTACAAATATGCTTGATACAATGGATGTATGCCTTGTTATAAGATCTGTAAGAGCTCTCAATAAAATGATCTTTTAATTAAAAAAAAAAAGTTAGTGGCAGAATTCCATTATTTTTCAATTCCATTTTTTTAGGAACTTTTTCAAGCTCCATGTATTATATGCTGGCAAGAATAAATCATGTATACACTGCAGTTGTAGATTAGATGAAAGATTTTATAATGTATTTTTTTATTTTCTTAATTTTACTCTGCTTTTCCTGTTGACCAACCATTACTCTTTTTCTCAGTGGAGTATTAATCAGTTATTGGGGCAAATTTTTGCCTCCAAAAACCATGGCTAGTCATTCCTTTCTCATACTCAGAAGACATTGTTGTTAGGTGCCATCCAATGAGTTCCTACCCGTGGTGAGCCTGTGCACAACAGAAGGAAACACTACCAGCCTTATAATTGATCCTTTGCCTGATGCCATTGTTGCAGCCATGGTGTCAGGCCATCTCATTGAGGGCCTTCCCCTCCCTCGTTCACTGCCCCTCCCTCCACTTTACCAGGCATGATGTCTGTTTCCAGGGACTGGTCTCTCCTGACAATATATCTAAAGTAGGTAGGAGGAAATCTTGCCATCTTTGCCTGTTAGGAGCACTTTGGCTTACAGAAGACTTTACCCTTCCTAATGATAGCCTTGTTGAACTCCTCAAAGCTTATTGAAAGACCTTTTCTCAGTCTTCTCAGACAATGTCTCATGGGTTCTCCTTTTCTCGCCTTCCTTCCCTGCCTGTGGTAGGGCTTTCTTTTCCTGGCTGTCATTAGTGTCGACCTCTCTCTCTACGTGTTGTTTTGTTTCTTCTGATTTCTCCTCTTGCTGTGTCAATAGAGTTAAAAATTAACTGTTTCTTGTCCTGTCCTTTTTTAGGCATTGGGACCTTAAACAAATCAACATGTAAGGGGCTTACTACCTCCCTCCATTAACGAAAAGGACTGAAGTAAATAATCTCTTAAGTTCCAACAATCAGTTACAGCAACCCTTTCTCTATCACTGTATTTTTACATAGAATTTTTCCACAGAAGTAAAATACCACACATAATTATGTGCTGAGTGTACACAGGAAATGAACGCACAAAAATGTTACATGTTTTTGGAAATAATGCACATTATATAAAAACATGATATACACACAGCTAGGTATACTGAGAATGATATAATTGAAGAAATGATAAGAGTGTTCACAAGGTTAACTGCTCTCCGGAGGAAAGTGTAGAATCATCCTGTGTGGTTTTAGTAAGTAGAATTAGGCTTCTTTGCGGGGTGAATAAAAAAAACAGAATCTGGTTCAATCTAAGGCAGAGTTTTAGGGGAAGAAACTGATGAAAAGGTTTGGTGCTCCTGTCATGGGCTCTTTCCCAATATTTCCCCTGTCCCTGAACTCTGTCCTCTGCATCTTCACGCTAGTAAGACAATTGGTTTTCTTTTGATTTAATCTGGCATCTCTTGCCCTTTGACTAAATAAAAACAACAAAAGTGGGAACACCCAGTGCCATTTCTGCTTCCAACTGTTGACTCCCCTGTAGTATTTCCTGATTTTTTCCCCAGAATCTTCAGATAACTTCTTCCTATATTATCCAGATTTTATCATTGTTAGCTGTGGGAGGCTTGGTTTACTAGGAGGTACTAGAAGCTACTTGGCCTTACTGAAAATAGAAAAACGATGCTAAGATTCTTTCCATGTTAATTGGCCAGCTGTTCCTTTTTGCTCCTGTTAGTTTGTTTAAATATCACAGTTTATTCTTTCTTCTCTTCTAATCTGCTATTTGTTTTCTTCAGAGGTCTCAATATAAAAGGGCTTAAAAAATGCACGGAAATTTTCCTTTATCTTTAATTCAATTTTTTACATGAGCTTTATGAATCCCTCTTGTATCATTACATTAATTTTAAGAAGGGACTCTAGTATTAGAAATCTATTTGGTTTTTAATACATGACCTTTATAATGCTTAGGGCCTCAGAATTTATTCTTTTACTGGTTCTCCTGTATTCTATAGAGGTGTGGTAGGAGCGTGCCACAAGGTAAGAGATGAATAAATTTATAAGAATGCCAAGTTCAGACAATATGAACATTGATTTACATTTCTGTAATTATAATTAGTGCATTTTTAATATTTGTTTTTTATGAGCTAATAATTGCTTATGGACTCATTGGGAGTTTATGATTGGAATTCTTATTTTTAAATAGATTATTGATTAGCTCTGAAAAATACTTAGCTTTATGCTTTCTTAAATTTTGCTTGTGGCAAGGCATAGTAGTACTGTGGAGTGAAGATAAGGAGAGGGTGGTTGGGACAAAACACGTCAAAATTTTCTGTTAAATCATTTTCATTTTTCAATTAAGAGCACAAAATTTAGCATAGGTATAGTCTCCTGTCTCTTAAGGTTTTGTTTAGGCTTTCCATATTTGAAATGCATCGAAACTATGCATAAGGTTTTTAGTGGTTTCTTCCTCAGAAGTGGGGAGCCAAACCCTTCTTCGTTGTCTTTTCTTTATCTGGAAGTTCTGCTGAAACTTGTTCATTGTTGGCATTTGAATCCCAGTGACGTTGCGTCCAGCATCACAGCATCACTCAGCCACCACAGTATGACACACTGACAAGTGATGGAGGAGAGAAAATGATTGTCAGCAGAGCCTCTGAAACTCGCTCTAAATTGTAGAGTAGCTACAGCAAAGGAAGAAAGGAGGAAATCAAAGAGCTGAATAGAACATTTCAAAGGACAGCTTGAGAAGATAAAGCCAAATATTATAATGAAATGTGTAAGGACCTAGCATTTGAAAACCAAAAGGGAAGAACACATTCAGCATATCTGAAACAGTACTAAAAAAAAAAATTCAAACCTTGGGTTGCAGTGTTGAAAGATTCTGTAAGCAAAATATTGAATGATGCAGGAAGCATCAAGAGAAGATGGAAAAAATACAGTCACTGTACCAAAAAAACTAGTCGACATCCCACCATTTCAGGAGTTAGCATATGAACAAGAACCAATGGTGCTGAAGGTAGAAGTTCAAACTTCACTGACAAACAAGTCTCCAGGAATTAATTGATGGAATACCCATTGAAATGTTTCATTAACCTGAAGAAGCACTAGAAGCACACACTTATTTATGTCAAGAAATTAGGAAGACAACTACTTGGCCAACTGACTGAAAGAGATCCATCTTTGTGCCCATTCCAAAGAAAAGTGACCCAAAAGAATGTTCAGACTCTAGAGCAATGTTATTGATAACACACACAAATAAAATTTTGCTTAAGATCATCCGGGGATGGGTGCAGCAGTACATTGACAGGGAACTGCCAGAAGTTCAGGCAAGATACAAAAGAGGACGTGGAACAAGGGTTATCATTGTTAATGTCAGATGGATCTTGGCTTAAAGCAGAGAACACCAGAAAAATGTTTACTCTTGTTTCACTGACCATGTAAATGCATTTGCCTGTGTGGACTATAATAAACTGCAGGTAACCTTGAGAAGAACGGTCATCCCAGAACCCTTCTTTGTGCTGACGAGTAACTTGTACATGGATCAGGAGGCCACTGTGGAGCCAGAACCAGAACTGCATGGTTGAAAATCAGGAAAAGTGTGTGTCAGGGTTGTGTTCTCTCACCATACTTGTTCAATCTACATGCTGAGTGAACTCATCAGAGAAGCTTGATTATATGAAGAAATGTGCAGTCTTGGGATTGAAGGAGGCTTATTAACAGCCTATGGTATGCAGATGACAGAACCTTGCTGTAAATGAGGAAAAATTGAAGCACTTGGTAGGGAAGATCAAGAATTATAGCCTTCACTATGAATTAAAACTCAATGTAAGGTAGACCAAAATTCTCACAACTGGACCAGTAGGTAACATCATAATTAATGGAGAAAGGATTGAAGTTGTCAAGGATTTTGTCTTATTTGGATCCACCATTGGTGCCTATGGAAACAGCAGTGAAGAGATCAAAAGATATATTGCATTGGGGAAATCTGCTTTCCCAATAAAAGAGCCAGGATGTGGTATTCTCCATTGCATCCTGTGCATGTGAAAGTTAGGCGTTGAATAAGGCAGACCATAGACGGATCGATGCTTTGAATTATGGTGCTGGAGAAGAATAT